AATATCGCGGGTCCCCCTCTTGTAAAACAAATGATAGTGCAGTAAACTACAACTCAATTCTCTATATGAAAGTGCCATCCTGAAGAACTCAGTTTTACACATTTTGCAGACTGACAGAGTGTGGGAGACTTCCTGACCTCCAGAGTCAGGCCATTCCCCAAGATAGGAGCCATAACAGAGTACGCAGGGGGTGTACATAGGGAAGGGCACAAACTGGAAAAATGTGGTTTGGGTCACAGCGTGGCCAGTTCGTGAGCCATGAACTGTCACAAACTTTTAAGATCCAAACATACCAGTTAGGTTCATAAGGTGGTAGAAGCCTACAGACACACATACATTGCTTGCTAGAGACACCAGACTTGCAGGAGATCTCCGGCTGACTCTCCTCTACTTGCCTTCCAAGTTTGATGAGAATTGGATTTACATGGTCTGGTTGTGCCCCCCCCCCCCCGAAAGTGCTTTCCAGGGAAATTACAGGTGCAGGTTCAGAAGTGTATAGGATGGACCTTGTGCAAGCTAGTGACAGCAAACTCACAGGGGACCTGCCCCTGATGTTCCTCTACATGATCTCCAAGTTCAGCCTCCCTGTTGCTTTTAAGTTTGGTAAACATTTTGATTGAGCAGAGACAGGCTGTCTGGAAATGTATCTATTCACGAACTGCCACAAACTACTTGAAAGTTTGTGGAAAGTTCGTGCCGGCTGACCTGCCATGAACTGACCTGCCATGAATTGGCTCCGGTCCCACCAGACCGGAGCCAATTCATGTCCACCCCTAGCCATACATTGCAGGAACTTTGTCATGTGTGTACCCATGCACCTGTAATGTACCTCTGTGAGCCCAAAGATGCAGCTGGCCCATGTGAGGGATCAGTAAAAGCTGGGCCTTTGGTGACTTCATTATTCGAGGAAGGAAAAGTCTTGATAACTATTGCCCATTCTCTTTCTCTCATAGAACTCAAAGAAAGAATTGAGCTGATGTGATCAGTGTAGCCTACTCTAGTCACACTAGAGTATGACATGGACTTCTTTTAATTTACAGCTTTTACCTTGAATGCAACAAACTGTGAGGGACATCACTAAGAACTGAATCCCACATTACAATTTTGTACATGATGCTTCACACCTCTGGATGAGAATTTTGTAGCATGGGAATGGCTCCTGATGTGCATGTCAGGAACTATGCACAGGAGTCAGTGTTCTGACTTGGACTATTGAGCAATTGTAAACCAGTGGGAGAAAATTTCATTATCACCCATTACTAATGTTGTTATTGTAATGAACTTGGGTTTGTAAATAGTTCTACTGTACAGGCTTAGCCTGAGGTGGCATGCCTGGAGGAGCCAGAACCGGTAACAAGTGGAATTGTAATGTGCCTTAACTACTGCACTCTCAGATGGGCCTTGTGGGTCCAGAAAGAGATTTTGTTCAAATACCAATTCAGGCTAAAAAAGTTCGGCTCCTAACCTGCCTGGAGGGAGGAGGGAAGAGCAGATAAACATGTGTGAAAAGGAAGTAAGTATTCATAGACTGAGGTAGACATTTCAGCCTTTCAGGGCACTCAGTGGGGGACTGCCAAGTAGCTGTTCTATTGCAAAGGAATTTCAGGAACAGACTGGAACGGGAGACTGCTGAATTACAAGTTATTACAACAGTTGGGACAATGGAACCTCCAGGGTTTAGCAGAGATATTGGCTTCTTATCTCACTACACATGCTAAGTCACTCAGTTCTCACTTACACCCAGAAATTAAACTTTGTTGGATTTAAAGGTGCCACTGGACTCAAACTTAAGTTCTCAAATCTGTTGTTAACTCCTTTATTATCTGTATGCCAATTTGCTGCTATTCACAAGTCTTACCAAATGTATTATTCCAATCTTAACAGTATTTATGGCTCAGTTACTTATGCATCTTGACTCTAATTAGCCCTTCCTGGCAACTAACCCCTCCACACCTATATGTAATGTTTGAGGAAATCTGTTTCAATGTATCTGAAGGAGTGTGTGCATCTACACATGCTAAGTCTCTCAGTTCTCCCTTATACCCAAAATTGAACTTTGTTGGTCTTGGAGGTGCCACTGGACTCAAGCTTCATTCTCACATCTGTTTGTTAACTCTTGTATTTGTATGCTAATTTACTACCATTCACAGATTTTACCAACCACCTTAATCTAATCTCAGCTATAATTGCCAGTTACTTATGCATCTTGACTCTAGCCCTTCCACTAACCCCCCCCCCCCCATTTGTAATGGTTGAGGAAATTATTGCCCTGCATCTGAAGAAGTGTGCTTGCACACGAAAGCTTAGACCATGAATAAAACTTTGTTGGTCTTAAAGGTGCCACTGGACTCAAACTCTACCGGGTGTTAAAGGATCTCTCTGAAAATCTGATGCAGGGATAGCAGATCTGATGCCCTATAGGGATGCTTATATGTCTCCACCTGTGCTGTACTGATAAATAAAGTGAACACTACAGGGAAGGGAACCAACTCAGGTAAAGTGCCATCTCTGGAATGCCTTACCATGTAGTGGAGCAAATACAACACTTTGAGTGGCCACAGCATGCATTTGCAAAACTAGGATGCAATGAAAGCATATAATGTATCGGAGACAGAGAATAAAACTATGGTTACTACAATTCCACCTGTAGTATTCAATTTTTGTATGTGTTCCCATCCCCTTTTTGGGCTCTTTTTAAAAAAAAAAAACTGATGGAAAATATCCATTTTTGGAGTTGGAAGGTTATGAATATTCCTAGTCAGTAGCAAGTATCACATCTTAAATAGTAGGGGTATTTAAAATGAGATTTGTCATAGTGATCACTTGTTGGAAGTAGTCAGTCGGGAAATATGTCCTCTTTTTTGCTTTTCAAAATATGGTAACCCTAATAAAACATTTTGTTCGGAATGAAAGTTTCCATTGTGAACTCTTTTAAGATTCCACAAAACTCCTATTTTAATTTTGTCGGCGGCACAGACTACCCCTCTGAATTTGCAGACTAAATTCCCCTACTTGGAAGCAGCTATACCAGCTTAGTTCTCATCCAGCACACACGGATGATTCGACCCCGTCGGTGTAAACGTTGCCAGGGTGTTACTGCTGCACATGGCGGCGCTCCCTCCAGCTCCCAGCCTAATCCCAGCGCAGCAGCCGGGCCGGAAGGAGCCGCCGGCCGGCCTAAGGAATGCGGGTTGCTGAGTGGCGGCGACGCGTCACGTGAGTTTCCCGGGCCGGTCTGGACTCCTCCTGTAGCTCCTACTTTTGCCCTAGCCAGAGGCTACGCTTCCCAGCGGCTGTTCAGCGCGATGTCCCACCAGACCGGCATCCAAGGTACCTCTCGTGGGAATCAGTGGCTCCAGATCTCTCTTCCTGCTTGCCCCCATTTTCCCTACTTTCCCTCTGTGGCCCAGCGAGCTGCCCCAGCCTCTCTCCCAAGCGGCTGCCTGCGCCGTGCCCTAGTAGGGATTGGAAACTGGCCGGTGACGGGCCAGACTTCCGGCATCTAAGCGTCTCGCTAGGCGCTTTGGGGACTTGGGAAAACTTTTGATTCCCCTCTTTGCAGAGCTGACTTGGGAGTTCTCAGCTCCAGCACCTCTTTCGCTACGTAATACTTTACTGAGAAACAATGCATCTGAGTATGTACAGAGTGCCTTTCCCTGTAATCCTTGGGGGGGGGGGGAGGCGTTACACGATGCAACTTTGTTGCTTGGGACGCTGGAATGAACCTGTTTATAGCCCCTCTGAAGTCTCCAAAGAGAGAGAACGCAAAGTCTGATGCAAGGTGCTGATGCGAGCAGATGGCATCCCTAAGACAACAGAGGCTTGCAGTGGCCTCTTTCGGCCTGCACCTGCCTCCTCGCTCCGCCACCGACATGCTGCTGATTAGCATGAGGAGAACTGGAGTGGTTTCCCGGGCTGTGCTCAGCAAACTCCTCGGGTTTGAATGACTAAGCGAGGTGGGCTTGCGCGGTGGATCCGAAACTCTCCGTCCGGCAAAAGAACGGCCTGATTTCAAGCAGGCTTAATCAGGAATCAACCCAACTAGCAGTCAGTGGAACTAACTTCCGAGCAAACTGGCAGGAGGCTTTTATTTTACCGAATTTCTAGTCACGTGGGTGAGCTCCCGGAGAGCGAAACAGAGGTGTTGGACATTGAAAGCGAAATTTACGGGGTTCGTAGCGTCGGGATAAATAGGTGGAAATGCAACAGTTGGGCATTTGGGGAGGGCGGGATCCAGTAAGGAGAAACGTTTCATTTCGTGAGTATGAAGCGCACAGGAGCGTTGCCAGAAAAGTGTTGGCAACCCTCCTTCCACCCTGCATTGTATACTTTGGCATTTGACCGACCACTCAGTACGGTAGCTCTTGTGTAAACCATACAGCCACAGTTAGGCATGTTCTTTTGACACCAGCATCAAGATCAGTTGCCTTATTGTCTTTCTGCAAGGAGCAAACGCCTGCCCTTATTCCAGGAAACTGCTAAAAGGAAGGGAAGAACTTTCCTCCTGGTAATCCTCCAGTGCAGTTTACAAACCTGACTCGGTCTCTGTAAGGAGACAGATTTTTATATGGTTCTAGTTCAGTAACATCCCTTTGACTCTTTATGTTAGTCCCAGTAAGATTTTGGTGTGTGTTTAAATTGCTATGCATGCCTTATTCATTGATTTTCATATCTGCACCATGCAAGGAAGAAATCCGCCAAGGAGGCACCAATTCTGCGTACAAACGTTATTGAGAGTAAAGTGCTATCAGTATAGTGGACCTTACTTCCGAGCAGCCATGCATATTTCTGTGCTGTAAGGCATTTAAAACAGTATCTTTAATTGGCACAAATAGCTTTGTACATGTGTGATGTAAACATTAGTAAAGATTGGACTTAAACACATTTTGTGGGATGGCTGAGATAAAAAATCTTCAACCTGCTGAGTCTCAGTCCACTTGTACAGCTACTTTTTGTTGTTTTGGGTTGTTGCTTTTTGGAAGGACCTGCTGCCAATACGTATCCATGAGGGGGCAAGGGTGCCACGCCGTTCACTGTGTTTGCATACCTGCTGACAGGAGCAGGCCGGGGTAGATTGTTGAGCAGGAGAGAGGGATTTATTTTTTTAGTGAGGGCAGAGGCTCCCTCCTTCCTACAAAAGTTCTCCCTTTCCTGCTGTGCCCTACAGCCTGGCCACTTCTTCAAACCCAATAGTTCATCCCCACACGTGTATTGTCCAGCCTGCGAGTGTCTCGCTCTGCCCTCTGTGCCCCCAGCTTCAGAGGAGAGGTGGGTGGCAACCGGAGATGGGGCTTTTTCAGCAGCAGCACCTTTCTTATGGTCACCCTTCCCTGACATTCCATTATGAGGCTACCCTGGCATCTACAGTGCTTTCTTTTAGGCACCAGGCCGAAACATTTCTGTTCATCCGGGCTTTTAATCAAGGGTTTTTAAAACACTATTTTAGCCTGGAAACTGTTATTTTAAAGCTGCCAATGGCCGGTTTTTATGGTTCATGTTTTTCTGTTGTGCTGGGTTTTAGCCTGGATTTTAATAATATCTTAAAATGTCTTTATTATTTTTATTTTGTAAGCTGCCTTGGGCAGGTTCCTGGTGAGGTGGTGTAATTTTTTCTGAATAAAAAATAAATGTGCTTGTGGCATGGAGATTCCAAAAAAATAAATAAATAATTCTGATGTGTCTTGGCTTGTTCTCTCCCCACCAGAGCCAGCTACTGCCTATCCCTGCCAGTCAGACCTCCAATACTGCCAAAGTAAAGCAATTTTAAACATCACTCTAAATGACACTTGGGAAAGATCCATGAGTGAAGCTTTGGAACTGCTTTTTAATGACTCTGGTAGAAGTTGGCTGTAGAAGTTCCCAATTCAGATCTGGATTTTTGTATCACTGGAGGACTGAACATTTTCTCTCATGCCTGTTTCTTAACTTCACATGCCTTGCCACCACCATGAACTGCTGTTAGCCCCACTGAGAAGAAATATCTATTTTTCTCTAGCAAATGGCAGCTGGGGGAGGGGAGAGCTTTTGGGGGGGTCAGCAAAATGGCTTTAATGTTTAAACCCCTTCTCACTTATGGTCTCTTCCACATCGTCATTTTTGTCACTCATTTGCCCCTATTGCTCCCCCCCTTTTCCACATGTGCTTTGGTCCCTCTGGGACTACTAGAGAAAGCAAAAGAACCTGGGGGGGGGGGACCCTGAAGCAATCAGGACAACTGAGTGACAAAAATGACAATGCGGAAGAGCCCTAAAGTGAGACACCCTGTGGCTGCTGTTTCCCAGTTGAAAAACGCATGGAGGGCTTTGCCCCTTTCAGCTTAGTAGTTACTTTCACAACAGCCCTTGACTGCTGTCACAAAAGAGTCTGTTTGGCTGGATTTTAAAGCTAACAAGATCAGCTCCATACTACTAAGGCCAAAGAGGACCTATTTCAGGTCTTTAAGGGAGCCAAACACTCAAGTAAATTTTGAGAGACACTTTTTGCCTAACACCTTGGCCAAGTAGCGAAGGAAAATACTTGTGATTTTTTTTAACATATCATTTGCAATGATTGTAGTTGATTTCTCTTTTTAACCCAATCCAATATTAATCCTGCTTTTTAAAAACAGTAAATCACTTTGAACATTTAGTACAGTTCTTTGCCTCTAGAAGATTCCATACTCCACTGACCTATGCTTTACTATGGTTATGTCCTGATATTCTGTTAAAGTTACCAGGGGGACCTTGGGCCAGTTACAGTCCTCTTAGAACTCTCTCAGCCCCACCTACCTCGCAAGGTGCCTGTTGTGAGGAGAGAAAGAGAAGGCAATTGTAAGCTGCTTTGAGACTCCTTAGGGCAGAGGAAAGTGGGGTATAAAAACCTACTCTTCTTCCCAGGGGAGTGGTTTCCAGAAGCTGCTTGGTAAAACCATAGAGTTTCTGGTGGTCCCTATAAGCTACCCTACATCTCTTCCAGGTTTTTTTCTGAAAGCATTGTAGTGGCACAGATGGTTGCTCCCTGCCTCCACCCTTCCCATCGGTTCTCAGGTGATGGCGCGATGTTACTTCAGGGAAAACCCAGAAGTCATGTATGTTCGCTCTAGGTTTTATCATAGAATTTCCATTGATTCCTAAATAGGTGTGTAATGATTTCTTGTTTTGGTGTGTGTGTTTCTTTAAATGTTTAGTTTGACTGCAGTAATGTAAGGAGAGTGATAGAAGGAGATAAGTGTGATGTGATTGGCTGATGACTGAAAGTGTGGGAGGAGAGATGTCTCTGAGAGGATTCTCTGTTCAAAGAGAGACAAGTGTGGAGAGTTTGTGTGAGAGTCTGTATGACAGAGGAAGCAGTTGGAGTTTAGTTTAGCCTGTGTGGCTATTAGAGAGAAAGTTCAGCCTGTGTGGCTATATACATGAAAGAGAGATAAGCCTGTCAGAGTTGAGTTTTGGTGTATGAGAAACTGTGTGTGATGCCAAGCTTTGTCAGTTACATTTTCTTTCTTCAAAAACAGTTCAAAAATGCCCAGAAACCTATTTTGTTCTTTTATAAATAAATCAATATTTGTTTAAACTTATCCCAGCAATCAGAACAGTCCTTCCTCAGGGCCACATAGTCCTCTGAAGCACCCAGACACTGGGTCATTCTACCAAAAGAGAGATTTGGAATGTTAAATTCCTGGTGGCAGCAGAAATCTACTAAATTCATGTACACAGAGTGTGGTTTAAAGGAGAAACAGTCTCCCCAATAAGAGAGGACGTCACAAGGTGTGATATCACTTCCAGGTTTTCCCTGGAGGTGAGGTCATGCCGTTGCCTGACAGTGCCCTTTAATGTCCCCCACCCACCCCCCACCCTCGGTCTCCTGATAGTTCCCAGACTTTGCCTGGCAAACAAATATACTGAATGTGTGAGTCTACTCAGATCTGTTTCATAGGGAAAGTGTTTTTAGGGTTGCACTGGAAATCTGGTTTGTTCCTCTGGTAATATGGGTGGATCTCTTCTTATAAGTAGATTAGTAGGGCATTCCTAGTGAACAACCAAGGTGATGAAAGTTCTACAAGATTTTTGTATGATTTTGACCTTGAATTGATCAGGAAATGGATTGGGAGTACCTGGCATAAGTTAAACCTAAATTAATAATAACCTCTGCATAATCCCCTTTTATGTTTTTCATCTCAAACCAGTGATCTTTACAGATGAAGCAGGGATTTCCTGAGCCTAGGATTCTTGACATTGCTACACACTTGGAATTTCTGGTTTAACCTAGGTTAGACTCTGAGCTCCATTGATTGAATTCACAGCCTCCTGCAAATTACCATATTTGAAATTTGGTTAACTATTATGTGTTTCTGGCAACAAAGCCAGAAACTAGGCCAACAAAGCTACAATTCAGCAAAGCTATAATCCAAGACGTATCTTAGAACAGATGAATGTTTATGTTTTCCATTGCAGTGCTTACAGAATACAGACGATTAGAAAGTTATATCATTCTTCTGGTGAAATCGCATACTAACCTTTGGTCTTTCTCCTTAGTTTCCTTCTCCAGATTTTTAAACATCTATTTCATTTTATTATATCAGTATATGATTTTAAGTGTTAATATGTCTTTAATTTTTTTTTTTTCTAAACTACAAAACTACAGGGTCAGAGTAATGGAAAAACCTAAAATAAGAGTAACAAGGATCCATAATACAGACATATAAGGTTATTCATACGTCTCTGTTAACATAATAGTACAGCATGAAGATTACTAAAACAAACATGTCAAGCAATCAATCACAATCTCTTTAGCTAAAGTGTAAATATCATAGAATTGAAGTTATGCGTTAAAATAGACAACAGACTATCAGAATTAAGCTAATTTGCAATTTCCTTTCTTATCAAAGTCCAAATTAATTTTTAGTTATGCTTCAGATTTAAAGAGTTTGTCAGACTCTTCGAGATGGTATCGCAGTCTTCCCCATCTTTCTCTTCTTCTTCTTCTGTGTCTTTGTTCTCCTCCACTTTCTCAGATCCATCTTCTGCTTTCTGTTGTTGCTTCAGGAACATCTGCTTTGTTTCTTTCTCACTGAAATTTCTTTGAGTTCCTTTTGCAACATCTCCCACTTGACGTTAAGGTTGGTCATCTGGTCCAGTAGAGGGAGCAAAGCTACAACAGTCAGTTTGGGAAAGTCTGTGGTTACTTCTGGTCTAATGACTGTCGATGCTGTGCTGGCAGTTTGTATGTTAAGTTTCGCTTTCAACGCAATTTTTTCTCCCACTGCGTCATTGTTTATACAAGAGGAAATTTTAAAAATTTCTCCGTAAGTCTGGAATTTATCGCTTTCTTGCTGATCCGCCGCACACTTTGTCGCAATCCGCTTCCTTCTAGCCGCCCTTTCAGCCTCCCACTTTAAACTCAGTCATTTTGTGATCGGGCATTCCCCTCCCCCTTCTACTTATTTGGGGCTTTGGGGCGGCTTTACTAGAAACGATTTATCGATTGTTTGCTGGATCATAGCTTCACTCATATTTGTACTTGCATTCGCTAGGTATGTAGAGAGGGTAGTTTCTCGGGATCCTTATACGCTCTGTCCAATGTGCGCCTCTTGGTGTCATGCTGGCTCCGTGCCGTGGGGGCCTATCGGAGCAAAAAAGTGCCTCAATCTTTTGGCTTCCGCCTTGGGAGAAGCACCTCTGGCGCCCCAGGCTGAGACCCCCCCTACAAGGGGTCTGGGGGGGTCCGAGTTGATCTCGGACCCCCCCATCAGCACGTTTGCGGGGCGCTCACATCACAGCTGTGATGGAGCACACCCGCACAGCAAGTCGCCAAAACCGGAAGTCTCTTTCATTTTTGAAAAATAACTCCCTGTTACACTTATTGTTAAAAGGGTAAATCAGTATAATGATATGAAATTGACCATTTAAAAGGTTTAAAAAGCCACAGTGGCCTAGAGGAGAGGTATGTGTGGCTGCTACTGAGGCAGGTAAACCGCAAGGAAAACTGCCAAGTGGAGCTCCATTCTTGCTGCACTGTATCAGGAGCCCTACTGGCAACAGGTAGACCACAGGAACCTGTACATGGGTGATAAGTACCAAAGATGTATCTGAGTGCTTTGAGGTGGTTTTCTCTCTCTCCATAATGCATTGTTCAAAGGAATGGATTAAAATCAACCTGAAGTGCTTTTTTTTTTTTTTTGCCTTTTTTAGCTAGCGAAGATGTCAAAGAGACTTTTGCAGGAGCCCGGAATGGACAATACAGATTGTTAAAAATAGTTATTGAAAATGGTAAGTGTTTAACACCCCTCCAGTCTTTCATAGGATGTTCTATAGATGGGGGAAAGAAGTCAATTTAAGTTACTATTCTAAATGTGATGATGAATAGATTTTTAAGTTTTGGTGCCTTGGAAACACCTAAAACACACGCATACTTTTGATAGAAATTGCTTGCTTTTTATATACATTTAATGTTAATTAATTATACTGTATGATAGTCATATTTACAGTGCTTCCAATGAAATGAGCATTTTTCTGGAAAGATCTTACCTGTATTCAGCAAAAGTATCATTCATGCAAGCCAGATTTTTTTTAAAAAATGTATTGTGAAACTGTAAAGTGTAACAATGAGGAACACTGAGCATTAAAAGTACAGAATAACAACAGTGAATATGTGTAAGTCAATAATTATAAAACTAATACCTTAACACAAACATGTTTAGAGGTATGAAACAGTTCAAGATGCTAAGCCCATTAATTCTAAAGGGTGTAATTCTGTTTAGGATTGCACAGTTAATAAACTCAAACCATTTTACAGCAAAAATGTTTAGACTTTTGTCTTCTTTCCATTGTGTCCCTCAAACTGATCATTATTTATCACTTCTATTCTGTCTTACATCTCAAGTATTTATCCATTGTAGGTCTTTAAGCAGACATGTGGTGAGGTATAATTTCCTGTTGTTGTTGTCATCAATAGTGCTAACTTCTCTTACATCTTTACAGAACAGCTTATTGTGGGATCTGTTAAACTGCCTGGTGAATCCTGGGAAAAGGACTATGATTACTTTGTTCTCCCACTCCTTGAAGACAAGCAGCCGTGTTACATATTGTATAGATTAGATTCTCAAAATGCTCAAGGCTATGAATGGATCTTTATTGCCTGGTCCCCAGATCATTCTCCAGTAAGTAACAAAATGAAATCTCTGGTGCACCCTTCAAACTACAAGGTGTCCCCCCCCCCTGTCTTGCAGCATTTTAAGTACTTACTAGCGATCGCAACAAGATCCCTTCACTCATAAACAGGCACACTTATCCAACACTGCTGATAACAGTTTTCCTTCTGTGCTGTTTCACAGAACTGTGGTATGTGTGTAGATGCACATTGGTAGGGCAAGTTGCATGGATTCCCCCCCCCCCCCATTAATAGGTACCCTGCTGTGTAGGAAATGTCCACAGGTTTGTGGTATTGACACCCACAGCCCCAAAATCTGAAAGTATAATACTTTCAGAGAAAGCAAGTGGGGAAAACATGCAGTCCAGTTTCTGAAGCTCAAACTCAATATCCCAGTGGGGTTTATTCAGAGGCTCCACTCAGTTTGCTCTGAAATTAGAAATGCTTACTATTTTAGCCTAAAGATCATAATTTAAATAATGGCCTGCATCCAACTGTGCAATTAATAAAACTTAATATAATTGTAAATCTTTTGACACTGTACTTACTTGGTATGTTTTCATTTCTTTTCTCTCTCTTTGGTGGTGTTGTGGTTTAACACATTTCTGTAAAAATAAAGGGCACTTCAGTTTTCTTAAGAGGAAGTAGCAGTTTTCACCAATCCCCTGTTCGTACCCACTGTGCCCCCTGATTTATTTCCTGAGGTTCAGTGGACCCTCAGAAACAGCCCAGTTGGTGGTCTGAGGGGAACTGGCAAAAAGCACACCCTCTTAAGAAACCTTAATTTCCCTTGAGTCTTTAGAATGTGGTTGGATACAGGCCAGTAAATTTGAAGTTCAGTGCTAAGCTGCTGCTGAAGCTAGTGGCATCCACCCCTGACAAGCGGGGCTGGATAGTTCCCAGACTACCCCAACATTTCCTTTCTATACTACCTTAGTAGAATTCTGTCCTTTAGATTGGCATACAAGGAGCTATATACTCGAGTAGCTCACTTTCTGCTGTTCACATCCCAGATTATGATAGACCTCAATGATAATTCTCCTTGTTCTTTCCAACCCCTCCCCCCTTCTTTTGGGCTCTGTATTGGTCATCTGCAACTTTCCTCCATGTCGCGTAGCAGTATCCAATATGATGGTCAAGTCAAGCATCTCTCTTTTTTCCCTGTGCCTCTATTCAAACCTAGCTGTTTCTCTAAAGTAAGTTGCTGATATTTGGAACTTGGAATGTCCAAGAATTTCTCATCTTCCTTCTTTCCACTGCTCATTCTCCATTTCTCTTAATGCTATTACCATCCATTTTGTTACTCCGGGCACCTTGGCCTTGTCTCATTCATTTTCATCCTCTCCCTTCAGAAATTAGCAGATACTGACAGTTTTCCTTCTGCAGCTTTTTTCATTACTCTTTAGTCCATTTTACCAAGTTTCAGTTCATCTTCTATTGTGTTCTTCATTGTTACAACCTTCTTCTTTGTCATGGCACTTTGCTCTGATCCTTTCACCCATCTCCAGAATTTTGTTGCTAGAACTGTCTAGCTTGTTTGCTACAGAAGTAATGACAAATTTTCTCAAGCCTCTTTTCTAGCTTTTCACTCCCAGTGCAAAGTGTTACTACTGTGGTTTGTCTGCAAGAGACCTCACGGCCTTACTACATTCTTACCTTTCACCTTTTCTCCGTTACTACATCTCTGCCTGAGATCTCCACTCTTGCTACTATGCCACTCCTGTTCTGTCTGTCAGTTGTACTCGGCCTTCCTGGCTAGTCTTTCACCTGGAGCTCCCTCTTAGAGCACACCTAACTCTTCCTGCCTCCTTACCTTACATCCTAAAACTCTAAGGTAAGTAACAAACTCCCTCTTGTAGTCATTTGTGTTCTCTCACTTATGCACTTGTCAAACATTAAGTATTACTTCTAACCTGTGCTTCCTCTGGAAAGCTCAGGGTGGCTTACATGAGGCTGTCTATGGTCTCCCATCCAGTCAATGGTCAGTTCCACTTTTCCTTAGCTTGGTACAGGATAAGGTGCTGCTGGACCTTTTCTTAAGAGTGAGACAGCCAGTTAACAGGCCCACGTCATAAATGGCAAGCTTGAGCATGTTGGTAAGATACTCAAAGGTCAATCAACAAACTCAATGCTGAGCGGAGGTTAAATCGAGGCCCTGCTTCATCATCAGTCTTCCTTCTATGCCAACATAGACTTTCTGTGTTTTCCATGCATGTTGATGGTGCAAGAGAAATAAGAATGTTAAAATTAATTTATTTCTTTCAAAAGTTGATCTTATCTCAAACTGTCACAGTAGGAAGGTGGACAATAGGCTGGATCCAAAAACTGAAAAAAATGAAAGCTTTTTTTCCTTGGAAAGAGAAGCTACTTTTCAGAGAAAGATTCTCATTTTGCAGAAGGGAGTCCTTGGATTGAACCCATAAATCTTAGCATTTTGAGGAGTAGCTTTAACTGACATTCTGTTCCGCTTCCAAGATCATAACCAGTCTCCCTTACAACCTATCAGGTTCGTCAAAAAATGTTGTATGCAGCTACTCGAGCTACTTTGAAGAAAGAATTTGGAGGCGGACATATTAAAGATGAAGTGTTTGGAACAAACAAGGTGTGTATTTTACAATGGATGGTTTGGCCAGGTTTGCTTCTGAGTAATGTCTAGGAAGCAAGTTCCATGAGCAGTTGAAGATAGTCCCATTTTCGAACTATTGAACTGTAAGGTTCCTGTGGAAAATTTTGTGAGTAAACTACTTGTGTAAACAGCTGATGTTTGTGTTTTCAGGATGATGTTTCGTTGAATGGATACCAAAAGTACTTGATAACTCAGTCTACCCCGGCCCCTCTAACTGCAGCAGAAGAAGAACTTCGGCAAATCAAAATTAATGAGGTACTACACTCTGAGCCAATGGAAAAGGGCTATTTTTTGTTTGTCTGAAAGTTCAGACCCAAGTCATCAGTGAAACATTTTCTGAAAGTCAAAAATAAGGTGGCATAGTTTACTTTAAGTTATTCTGTAGAAACGTTTGTATCAAAAGAGCATCTGCCAGTTCCAGATATTCCTAATCAATATGGATAGACTAGAGCACACTTCTTCAAATGTAGTCAGTTTATGTTGATGTTTATTATTTCTAAAAACCAACCTAATTCAGAAAGAACACATTACATCATGGAATAGTACTTGGATTGAGCAGAGTGCAAATAGGTTTGTATATTTAATTATTTTGATATTTTCCCCCCAGGTACAAACTGAAGTCAGTGTTGACACAAAGCATCAGACTCTACAAGGGGTAGCGTTTCCGATAGCAAAAGAAGCCCTCCAGGCGCTGGAAGAATTGAAAAATAAACAACTGAACTATGTACAATTAGTAAGTATGTGAGTTTACTCCTTTGCCATCATGCTGAAGGTTGTCGTTGTTCATGAAAATAGTAAAGATGATAATTCTTTATAGTGCTCAACACATCAGTGTTGTGTAGCATTAGAGCCCTTCATATTTGGAAGATTATAATTCTTTGTTAAATTTTGAAAATGTTTTCCTAAATTATTTCATGTAGGACTTTCTTTGAATCACAGATATATCATGCACATATTTTAGACCAACCAATTTTATGTATGTTAACAGCAAATTGATATGAAAAACGAAATGATTGTCCTGGCTAGCACGCTCTCAACTGAACTGAAAGACTTACCGAAAAGGATTCCAAAGGATTCTGCACGGTACCACTTTTTCCTCTACAAACATTCCCATGAAGGAGACTACTTAGAATCAATAGGTATGCCTCAGTTTCAGACTACTTGATTAGGTACTGGGATTTTTCAGAAGCCTCTTGGGGTCTGATGATTTTATTTATTTGTGGTCAAAAAATAGGAGCCACAAAACTTACTTAGGCCCTGTTCACACGGCGAATTTGCCGCGGGAGAGCCACAAATGTTGGGCGGATTTTCCGGGCACGATCACACCGCAACATCTGGTGGGCGTAGCGCACCCGTGGCCAACCCGTGGCGTGCCGCCGAAAATGCGCAGTTAAAAAGTACCTGACCAAAAGTACTGGCAAATGGTTTGCCACGGGCTGCCGACGGACTCTGTCCGTGTGATCGTGCTGGCACGACCCTGTTTGGAGCTCCGCCCTAGGCCAGAGACTAGCTGTGCACACGCTGACGTACAAAACTGCGGTGTGCCGCCTTTGCGTCTGATTGCATTCTGGTGGGTCTAATTGTCCGGGCGCAAAGAGCCACGCCTCCCCCCTGCGTTTTCTGGCATGTGTGACCGGGGCCTTAGTTCTAAATGGGATATTAATTGTTCCAATGCACAACCATTGTAATTTTTTGCAATATGGTATCCCCCAATTTTTTAAAAGTGGAACTGTCCACTTTTAACATGAATGTGAAGCAACACACCTTAGTTTGAAATAAAATACTGTCAAGGATTTTGTAAAAACTTTTCAACACTTACACCTTCTACAGTTTTTATCTACTCTATGCCTGGCTATATGTGTAGTATACGAGAGCGGATGCTATATTCTAGCTGCAAGAGCCCTCTCCTAGATATTGCAGAAAGACAACTGTGGATGCAGATCATCCGAAAGGTAAGGCCACAACCCATGCTAAACCATCTTTTAGATCCAACTCTCTTAGTATCCACGTATTCTCAGGGACACCTTCAAAAAGAGATGTTTCCAAGTTAAGAATTGATAATAGGACAGTGGGTGGCAGAGTGGTGGAGGGACCCCATTAAACCAGTCCCATACTTTCCACTCTGCCTATGTGTCTCTTAGAGAGTACATGGTTGATGTATCAGGGTCTCCCACTACTCTGCCACCCAGTGTGCTGTTGCCTGGTTCTTTTAGTACCCATTTTTGCCTGAGAGTTTAAGACACACTGGATGTCCTTCTGTGGCACAGAATACATGTAGCTGTCAGTGATATTCTGCAGAAATAGGCACCACAGTGGCTGCTGTGTACTGGTACGTTATATAGCAGATCACATGCAAGTATAAGTCTATGGAAACATTGGTAGATCTGTGTGCTCTAACTGGGATAACACCAAGCCTAGAAGTGCTTTCTTAATGTGGTTTGACCACCTCAAGTTTTGTACTTAGGAGCTGATGGTATCTTCCACACCTGTCCCAGTCTTCATGTGTCATTGCCAGCAGTCAGCTACTCTATGCTGCTGAAACCAATTGTTTCTATGTGTACAATGAAGAAATTAGTTCAATTTATCAAATAGTTAACAACTAATGCAATATTAGTATCTGGCAAGTCAGTTGGCTGGGCAAGTCATGTTCACTTTTCCAGTGCTAACATAATTCATAATTGAAATGAAAACAATTATTTGATTTCATAGATATTTGGTATTTGCAGAGTTTGTGATCCTGAATAGACTTCCCTGTTATAGAGGTTCTGCTCCGTATCCCCACTTGGGGTAGGGATAGGAAGCTGGATCTTTTTGATGGTGGCACCTACCCACTTTCTAGATGTCCTCCCCAGAGGTAATGCCCTTTCCCCTTTGTTGGTGGTTTTCCACTACCAATATGTTCACTTGTTCCATTAAAGTTTTAAGGTTCTATTAAGGTTTAATGCTTTGTATACCATTTGATGCCAGAATCACAGACACACTAAAACGTATTAAAAACAAACACACATGAAGATCTATTTTATGATATGAAACAGTAAATTGACAGATCCTTTGCAGAGTTAAATATGCCTAAAATCATTGATTTTAATAGGCTTGGGCATCCCTGTTACTTGGGATTGCCTGTCTTTTCCTGTTTACCAAGTAGTAAACATGGTAAAATACAGTTGTCCAGATGCAGCAAGAAGAATCCATATACAGAAGATTCTGCATATGGCTCTTTGTTGCTGGCTCAGATACATGTTTCATGCGTGGATATCATAAGACTTTACAAAATAGGCAGTGGTATATAACCTCAGTATTTAACTCTGCAAAGGATTGTGTATTTGTAAAAAAACATTAAGTAGGCAAATATTCTCAAGATTAGATTGTTTCTCTTTTCTTCACCCTCCAGATTGAAATAGATGATGGAGATGCGTTAACTGCTGACTTCCTTTATGAAGAAGTCCATCCTAAACAACATGCGCACAAGCAGAGTTTTGCTAAGCCCAAAGGACCTGCAGGAAAAAGAGGAATCCGGAGGTTGATTAGGGGCCCAGCTGAAAATGAAACACCTACCGACTAAATTTGGCAAGTGCACCAAGAATAAAAACATTCGGATAGGAGGTGGGGAAAACAGTCCTCACTAATGAACTGAAAACATTCCGCAATTATCTTTTCCAGGAGGGGGGGAAATATACCTTGTGACGTTTCCACTGCACTTATCTAGCTATATTACTTTATATTATTATGTATTATGTTTTTCATCTGAACGTATTTCATAGCTACAGAATGTATCCATAATTTCTGTAAAAATACGGTTACATAGCCTGCAGTCAGTTTTGATTACTGTTTCTCACATGGAGCTTTCAATTAGTTTTTGACATTAGATCTGACTAGTTTTTGACAACAGTCTGTAAGACAGATAGACAGCGAATTAACTATTTTAGTTGGTTTATTGCCTACCTGTCTTCAGACTAATCTAGAGATCTGCTCATTTCCATGTGGTAAGGATGTTTGTATAAATGTCTTCCCACATGTGATTTGTTTTTTTAAGCTGTGGCTTGAAATAGCCACAAAATTTTGCTTATCTCTCAGGGTACCAACTCTAGGACAGGATATGTGGGATGGATTGGACCTGTTCTTTTACTTGTTATGTTCGTTACCTAGTGGGGTTTCTGATGAAGCACGGGTGACTTCTGCCCTCTCTCTCTGTTTAAGAATGTGCAGACCACCAAAAATCAGAGACGGAAGGGGAAAATGAAATTATCTGAGTTTGGAATGGATTAAAAATTAGAGAACTTCTGAAAGAAAAAGTGGGAACAGACCATGATTGGTAGCAGAGAAGGGAAGAGAACAACAGAATTTATGGACAAAAGATGAGCGAGCAAAAACCAGAGTCTACAGAAACCTGCAGGGGACACCAACCCTGCTCAAGGCACAGGTGTGAAGAGAAGGATGTGGCTTCATAACCTAGAGGCTTCCATATTTCTCCATCTTTGCCAGCTATCCTACAGTCTTCACATTAAGAAATACCTTACTTTTTATGTACTAGTTCACCCAGTGCTCTGAAACATTTTATCATGTAAATGTCCAGATTAGGCTGTGCAAGATAGAAGGTGTGAAACTGGGAGGTCCGTGAACTAGCTGCCAGTTTATTTCCTTAAAAATTATCCGGTTGGGACTGTAATTTAGATCTGGACTCCCAAGGGATGGGGTGGGGGGTTGCTTAACAAACTCTGAATCAGGGTTCTGTGCACCTGCTTTTTAGAGGATGAAATGCTTGGAAGTTTGTTCATTTAGCTCTCAACATATCATCAGATTTGGCTCCGAATCCAGGTAATCTTATTTCTTGTTCTCAAAAAAGTTTCTCATAAATTAAGTTATACAGAAAGGCTAAGTTTTGCAAATCAAGGAAGCACTGTCCATTAGCACGATACTGGAAATGAAACAATGTCTATGAAATCACAGTACTTTCCCCCCCCATGAATCACACTTACTTTATAAACACTACAGAAGCTGCGGCAATGAAATTGGATCCCAGTTCTGACACTGTTCAAGAGCAAGCAGTTGATGTGTGTCCTAATGCATTTCTAGTACCTATTAAAATAAAGATGCTCTCAAGGCAACTGTTTGGAAGCCTGACTTTTTAAAATGACCCAATTGTCAAACTTACCTTGTAAAAGTATTTGGCAAGTCTTCATCTAGTTTCAGTATTCTTGGAGTCACAAGAAGAACCTTATCATGTTAGCATATATTAGATACTAAACTAACAGATAGAGGAAAACTGCCATAAACCCCTCCTGCTCTGGGTACTTCCCTTCTCCTTCGTCATTTTTGAAGTATTTCCAGGACTCCGAACCACACAGGCCTCCCTTTTGTCTTGTGATGTTACACATCACAGAAAAAGACTGCAGCAAAGAAAGATATATATTTTTTGTCTTGGGCTACAATAATCCCTTGAAGTGCACTTTTGACTGTCTCCAAACCCCATGTTTGTACAGCTGCTTAAGCTTCCCTCTGCTGTGACATCACATAGACCTTGCCTTTGCTTAGATCCCTGCATTGTGAATCACAACAGCACTTCAAGCAACATGGATATGTGGCTACAGCCAGCTCTGCTTTCTCTCTCAATTACACATAGGGTTCAGATACGCTGATTGACTGCTATGAGCTTAATGCCAGACCCCAGATACTTATTTATAGTATACCTCTCAAACTCCCCCACCCCATTTTCACTTTATCAGGATTCACAGCTACTCCCAAGGTTATAGAGGCACCTACCTGTACAGGATTTACCCACCCAGGCCAGTCCAGGAATGGGAGGGAACCCTGTACCTTTTGCAGTACATCAAACAACAACCCACCGAGGTAGGCTACCCTCTCTGGATTCAGAACAATATGCCACCAGAACCTCTACATTCGTCCCCTCCTCAACCTGAGATTAGAGGTTCAAACTCTCAGTTGGTAACTGGAACTTAACACCTTAGCAACTCATTCCCAGAGATGCACACTTTTTACTCTCCAATAGTAGCATATATGGTGAGCGTTTAGGCCACAAGATTTAGCCTTGGAATTCAGGTACAACATCAGAGACCATTTAGAAATAAGAATAATTTTTTATTCAGTACAGAGTTTAGCAAAACAGACGATAGAGTTTATAAAATAACAAGCCTAAGGCAGTTTGCCTTAACTACACAGTAAGAGATCCATATTTACCAAGTTCAGGGACATCTACAGTCCAGAGTAGCCCAAGAGTGTCCAAGGGGTACAGTCCAGTTAGACTCCAAGGGATTTTGAGGGTGAATCCCATTTTGGCACGCCATGTACTCTTTCAGTCACAAAGCAGGGTTTTGTCTCCCAGAGACAGCATTTCAGGTGCAATAAAACAAGCAGAGAGCAGGAGCACACACAGCTCCCTCTCATTGGGATCAAACTATTATAGTCCAATTCCAGTCACAATCAGCTGTGGCCATCAGCCAATTGTGAGTGGGCATGGGATGTGCCCAATTGTTGGTGGTCATGGCAATGTGTGGGGATAGGCTAGAAGTTTGGAGACCACGCCTGCAGTCACATGGCCCCAAACTCCAGCTTCTCCATCGGCTACGTGACTTCTCGCATGTGGGCCTAGTGGGGTGCCTCACAGTCTAGCCTCTAGCATGGAAGTGTGAAGAATGTGGGTTTATGGCATGGCTATGGAGGCCATGTGGCCCACCATTTGGCTGGTAACAGGAAATAAGGCACAGCCTGTTATCAGAAGACAAAACAGGAGAAAGCAGGAGGCTTAAGAAATCAATATTTCTATACAGCACCCTACCACATGGGCAAAGAGCCATATAAACAGCCATTGTGTGGATCTTTGCCCTAATCAGGGATGTTCCTTCAAGGGTGTTGAGCAAAGGAGTGTGTGTGAGAGAGAGAGAGACTGGGAGAAGGAGTTTTTGCCTGAAGTCCAGGTTACTTCAGCTTGTATTCAGGTTCAGTAGGCTCCATTCACATCAATATATCTAGGTACATGTCTTCTGAGCTCATACAGCAATTTCCATAAGTGATACAGGCTTTTACACTCAATGGCTGGTTGTTGAACTTTATCAAAACTTTACAATGCAGAATAAGGGTAGTGGTTAAGAGATTCATAATACCAAGTTTAACCTTCCATGCTCCCAGATTCAGATATCAGCTATCTTTGCTTTGGAAGAAATACGGAAGTCAAACCATCTATCAGCAAGAACCTTTTCTTTAGACAAAATTCAGGGGAGTTTGAGGCACTGCTCTTGGTTGCTTTGACACAGAAGCTCACTTATATGATAGTTCTCCCCCCCAAAAAAACCCCATTAAGTTGGTTATCATTCCATAGCCCTAGATGGAAACCTATCCTGTGTGAAAATTTATTTACCTCATTTATACTTCACCTTTCTCCCCCATTAGGAGCCAAGATGGCTTACACTATTCTCTATTTCACCCTTGCACCACGTCTGTAAGGTAGGTTAGGCTGACTGTGTGCGACTAGCCCAAGGTCACCCACCCAGCAGAGTTGACATGTGGTCCTGGAGTCTCCCAGATCCTAGTCTGACACTTAGGCAGATCATGAGAGGGAGGGCAGGAAGGGTTGCCCCAGTGCTTTGTTCTTGTGGCCCTTTCTTACAAGCCCAGGGAAATGCTGATTGCCACTTTGGGGTCAGGAAGCAATTTTTCTCCAGGCCGGTTTGGCCAGGGATCCTGGAGGTTTTTTTTGTCATTTTCTGGGTGTAGAACAACAGGCACTGTGGGTGTGGAGGGGGAGGTATGTGTGAATTTTGTGCATTGTGCAGGGGGTTGGACTAGATGACTCTGGAGATCCCTTCCAACCCTACGATTCTGTGACTTTAATTTGGCCAGTATTTTAAACAGAATGGAGCTGAAACAATAAGTGAGTGAAGCACTATGGTGAGCAAGGACATTTTTGGTGATTTAATCATATAAAGGTACATTTAGTTGTTTGTGCCAATCTGAATAGCTCTTTTTTTTACAACTTGCAAGAGATGCTTTAGAAATCTGATAATGCAATCCTAAACAGAGTTATACCCTTTTCAGCATCTAGACTAGAATGGGCTTCGCAGGGTGTAACACTGTTTAGGATTGCATTGTCTGGCAATCTTTTGCACAGATGTCCTTAAAATAATATTATTGATAGTGCAGAACTGAAGAGAGTTCTGACTGTTGTGCAGATATTAAAATAATTGCATATAGTATGCAGAATGTAAGCTACCTGAATTCTTCAAAAAAGGCTGGTAAACTTTGTGCTCCTTTGAATACATACACAGATGTTAGGACATATGTTCATTTAAAAAACGGATTACAGCAGTCCCACAGGTTATATTCAATAATGAAAACCAGTTCAAGACGACACACAAGAGTCTTAGTCAACCAATATTTCTTGTAAGTGTTGCTTGACCTGCAAAAGAAGCAGAAGTACAACTTAATACTCACAAAATGTCTTCCTTTTTTGCAACTCAGAAAGCCATATGGCAAAAAAACAAAACTGGTACCATCTTAATATCCGGCCTCCTGCTCTTCTTTTCATTCAGACATTGGCAAGCAACCGAATACATCTGTTCCACTGATGTGAAGTTCCAATCATTCATCTTCTCATCAATGTAATCTTCAATAGTCATTTCTTCATCTTCTATTTCCTCTTTGATACTCAGCTGTGGGGAAGCAGCAATGGTATTACAATGATTTGAAAGGGTATAATCTGCCGAATACCCATGAGTGGGTGAATATAAGAGGAAACGGGAATTGCACCAGAATTATAGCATTATGGCACAGCTAATCCCCTCATGCTTTCCACAGTTGCAGGCAGCATTAGACAATTGTAACAGCATTTGGCATCTAGAGCTGTCTAGGGAGACAGGTAACCTGCTGTCTCAGAATATTCAGGCATATTATGGTCAGGTTCCTTCTTTTAACCTTTATTTTTCACCATTCCAGATAAGTGACCAGGCCAGCATAGTCGGATATTCTAGTTTGTCTTGTCTTCCTTCCCTCTCCTTCCATAAAAAATACATGGGGGTAGATACCAGCAAGCCCAAACACCAAGGCTGTTCTTGTAAGTGGTAAGAAAAAACACATTTGCTTCATGATTTGGCTGATATATCTGTCCAGTCCTTTCTACTTGTATGTACTCACAACTTGTCTCGCAAATTTCAAATTAACACCGTAATGACAGGAATGTTTTGGTATTCTAAAGACATTCTATTTTTCATTATTCATAATAAATTTAGAATGCTTTAAAAACATTTTGCTTGCACTCCTAAACTATTTAATTATCAACATGGAAAAAAAACCTATTTAATTATCAACATGTGTCTGAAGCATTCTTTCAGTTCTCTGAGTAATCTCTCACTAACACTGAAATCATCAAAGAGTTATACCTGTCTAAGCTCACTGAAGTACATGAGTTTAGAAAGGGGTAATTGTTCAGGATTGCATTATAAGGATCTCTTCTAATCTTCAGCAGTGTGGCTATTTCTGCCACACTGCTCAGGGTCTTCCCCATATAAAGTCAGAGATCACCGGAAATTAGTCCATACTATGGCTCCTTCCCATGGCCACAGTCTCAGTGCCAGAATAACACAGGAAGGAACCACTTTGGCAAAAGCGACATATGTAGAGGCCAGGAGTTCCCACACCACTGAACTGATCCTTTAAAAGTTCATTTAAGACTGTTAAGTCAGCTCATTTATCCAACTAACACATTCCAAACAGACTCAGAAAATAACAGAAGATGATGTGGCCAGTACTAAATAAATATGGCTAAGGCACCTAGAAATATTTTTGCCTAACAGCACCCCACTGAAGTTAACCGTGAAAAGGATAGTTGAGTCCTTCCAGCAAGCCAACACAATGGAAAGTTCCTAGCAAAAAATCAGCTTCTGTCAGAATGCTTGTTCTCATCTAGTCAACCCCTCTGATGCCACAGAGTTCCAAGCATTGCCTGTTCTTGAACAACTAGATGCTGGCTTGCTGGGAAATGTGATAAACATCTATAACAGTTCTACAAGAAGAATACCAGTAACTGTGGATCCCGGTTTTCATCCATGGGTTTAAGCCCTGTTATCATTTCAAGTAACACCTACAGGCAAAACAGTGCAAAAAAAGAAAAAAGTCAGGCAAAGTACAGGTAAATGAGAATCTGCCACAACAGACTGTACATAAATAAAACCATTTTAAGTCTATATGCTAACACTCTCCCTTTTCTCAGTTTTCCTACCTTAGAATACAATTAAATATATCTTACTTTTCCCTCAAAAAAATGAGAGCCCAATTATTTTTTAGAAACAAAGCCAGATACTGTTTATGCCATAGCTTCACTCTCGGTGATAAGACTTTTTTTCACCCAAGCTTATGGAAACTCTATTCACAGCACAACTGAATAATTTACCAGACCTGAGATTAAGGAAGTTAGTTATCAAATTAGGGCCCGAATGAATGATTATGCAGGGAATCCTAGCTTTATGATTTAATTTTAAACCAGGAACAATGGTCAAGGACACTGTACTGAAACTGGTGAGGCAAAAGTAAGCAAGTGTATGAGACAGGCTCACAGTTTACATTGGGAAAACAGAAGGGGATGGGTTAGGCACCCCTTCCCCAGATCGAGATCACACTCTGAGCACTATAAAAAGCAAGAGATCCCCATCACGAATTTCCCATCTCATGACCAGTTTAGCTCTTAGAAAATATGTGCTATCCAGCAAGACTGAAGCCTGAAAGTTTTTATTGCTTGGCTGGTCTCCATTCACGTTTGGTGTTCAGCAACACTGCGATACTGAGTATCTCTTATAATACATTCTGTGAATTTGTCAGGAAGTACTGAATGGAAGGTACACCTACATTTCCTTTTCATTTGCTACTCCCACAAGAGATTGAATTTGTAATGGTGTCTCAGCACATTGCGATGAGCCCTGGCCAGGAGCTCTCAGGTTCACAGGAATTCTGAGGAAACGATACACTAAGCCAGATTTGCTTACAAGGAGATTTTTAATAAAGCATCAACATTTATAGAGAGTGCAGGCTAAGCTTCCATCAGCTGGGCCTTGGATGCGTGCACGCACAGCATAGCTTGCCAGAACCCGAAGACCACATGCATGTCCCAAACACTTGGAGGAGTAAGGCCATCTTGCCCCTGGCTTCCAGTGGGGGGAAGAAACAACCCAAGCTTTGAATAGTGCTGCTAACAAGCATGAGAGAGAGAGAGAGAGATTGAGATTCTCTTGGGAGCAGGTGATCAGCATTCTCCCATGAGACTCAAAGCAGCTAAGCACCAACATGTAGCAAAGCTGGAATCACCCAGGCCCATACACACATAAACAGTGATTTTTTTTCCTTGCACAAGAACTGTATCA